TTACCAAAAAAAAAAAAAAAGTTGATGTGTTTGAATTAGGATGTTAAGCATATTGAACATACCACGAAGTACTAGAGAACAGCCTAGTGATAAGAAGCTGAACCATAATTCCAAAGGCAAATCCACCAGCTGCTCTACAGGAGATGGATGAACAATCTCCTCCTGTGGGATTTACTGCTTCTGAAAACCTGCTGGAGCATCAGCTGTGGGTCATTTTCAACTTAGTGCCACACAACAACAGTAACAAGAGCACATTTTTCTTGGGAAAAGTACAACTAAAATGTTGCTCCATCTCACTAATTGTGCATGCACTATCAAGAAGGACCTGTGACCTTAGAGAAGGACATCATGCTCGGCTAACTAGAGGTTTGCTGACAAGACCTTCAGGGAGCTGGATAGACACTGGGTCTGTAACAAAAGGCTCACACATAGTCCCAATATTGAGAATGACCAGGGATCAGGTAACAGTTGTATATCTGTTGTACATCAGTTTGTTACGAGTTGGAGGCAACTCAATGTCCTCTAATAATAAAACAGGTGATGCTTAATTAAAAAAAAAAAAAACACACAACCAACAACACCTGTCACACTGTTCTTCAAGGTGATTTTAGAGTGACATATTTGCGGCAGTAATGCATAAAGCATAGTAAAGTGTTAGTTTTTATTCTTAAGATCAGATATAGCAATAGTAATAGTAATAAAAATAAGAATACCTCATTTATTAATGTTATATTCTCCTCAAAGTACTAATTTCAGGAGGTAAATCACTAACAGCTAGATAGCACTGTTTTTTTAAAACTTCAGATATTCTGGCATCTAATTCTAGGCACAGATCCACTGATGAATTTAAACAACAGTGAATAAATGCAAAAAACATATTTACTAATATAGCTGTAGGTTTTAGCATACTATAGATTTGGTCATTTCTCATTACACTTTTTTAAAAAGTCCCAGGAAAACATGGCTTTCTGTATAAAATTAATTATTAGAATACAAAAATTTTGAAAATCAAATAAGCAATATTCTTACTTGTTGACCTTTTAAAAATTGTATTTAGATTATATCTGACATTTTGTATCAAGATATTAAAAGAAGAAAGAAGAAAATTTTCAATGCATGAACTGATTTTGCGCAGAGAGAATATTCTATGGACAATCAAGAAGAAATGAGTTCAGAGTACTAATAAATCCAAGTACCATAATTTTTCATGTTGGTTGATTCCACTCTACAACTTGTGGTTAAAAGGGAACTTTGTACATGTCTATATGTACATAGGTATTAAAAAAGCACCACTATTTGAATGCTCTGAAGGACTTCCTCCTAGTCCAGTTAAATATTCCTCATGTTGTTGCTGTTACGTGCCATCGAGTTGCTTGCAACTCATAGCGACCCTATGTACAAAAGTCCTAAACCCTGCTCTGTCCTGTGCCAATCTTATTGTCTCCAACACAGCTATCCCCATAACCCCAGTCACTGAATCAATCTATTTCATCAAGGGTCTTCCTCTCCTGCACTGTCCCTCCACCCTCCCGAGCATGATGTCCTTCTTCAAGGACTGATCTTGCCCTGCAACATGTCCAAACTATGTCAAATGAAGCTTCAGAATCCTTGGCTCCAAGGAGCAGCCTGGTTTCACCATCCTTAGGATGAGCCTGTTTGTTCTTCTAGCAGTCCATGGTATATTCAATACTCCAGCACCACAGCTCAAAGGCATCAGTTCTCCTTCTATTATCCCTGAAAATAGTCCTTATAGAAAACAAAAAACCCAAGAATAAAGCAGACCTGAAAAAAAAGACATTTTCCAGGTTCGTATCTAATCAAGAATCAGAAGTATGTTGTTGTTGTTGTTGTTGTTAGGTGCCCTCAAGTCAGCAACCAAATGACACCCTGCTCATTCCTGCTCCATTTTCACAATCTCTATTGGGCTTAATCTCGCCGTTAGAGCCACTGTGTCACTCTATCCATCTTGTTGAAAGTCTTCCCGTTTTCCCCTGACCGTTTTCTTCCCTCACATGACACCTTTCTGCAGGGAATGGTACCTCCCCATTACATGTCACAGGTGTGGGAAACAAAGTTCCAACATTCTTGCTTCTAAAGAACATTTTGCAGTATAATGAAAATCAATTATTACAAAGTAACACACCTTTTCTCTTTTATTTCTGTTTCTTTATCGGCAAACATAGGAAAGATAATTTCCACACCAAGTTTATTCAAGAAAATTTTTATAAAAGTAATGTGAGCAAAGGTGAATTCAGATGAGGAATAGGCAAAACTGGGGAAACTGAGGGTGGGGCAGATGCAAAATATTCAACAATTATGAGGACTTCCACACCACGGTCAGGAGCTGAGGAAACCCACCCAGGAGGCTGTCTTCTGTAGGATCACTGATTGTGGGGGGAGCCTGATGCTGATGAAGTTTCTGCAGAAGATGGAGAGTGAAGCACAAATTCCTTGATGCTGCGCAAGGTTTGGGACAGGAGGTTCTTCCTCGGGTGACACCATCTTCACTTCACCTCAAGAGACCTGAGGAGGATATAAGAGTGTTATGTCCAAGCCTAACTCTACAAGCAGCTTTCCCCCACTTCTCTCAGGCTCCATGTTACAGCAACCAAGTCACAAGAGAGAAAGAAAGTATCAACGAATGAATCCACTCAACCCCATATTTACTGCAGCACTATTTATAATAACAAAGGGTTAGAGGAAAGCCCTGGTGCATCAATTACCATGGCTAATGAAAAAGTGGTATATCCACATGAAGGAGTATGTAAATATCACAAAAAAAATCACAACTATGTAAAAGACTGCACAGCATGATGACTCTAGAACAAATGATGCTGAGGCACCTAATTATTTATTGCAGTTGAGTTGGTACTAACTCACCCTCCCAAGGGTATTTACAGATTATAAATCACACAAGAGTTATCACATCTTTCTCCTTTAAAGCAACTGGTGGATTCAAACTGCCAGAAAGATTCCACTTTTGGGTAAACAGCACAATATCTAACCCCATAGACCACTAGAGCTCTCTTTTTAGCTATAATTCTTAGGATTATGTGAGGATTGATGCAATTAGAACATGTTACACAGTGACTGAAATTTAACCTAAAGTATATGTTAATTATGAAAAGCTAGTTACACTTAGGTAAAGAAACTGGCACATTCACAAAATGAAATCTTATATATCACTAAAAAACGATGAAGAACTTGTGAAATACTGCATGGCATTGATGAAACTAAAGCACATTATTCTGAGTGGCATATGTCAGTCACAAAAAGACAATAATGGCATAAGATTATAAATTTTAAAAGCTATTTAAATATAGATAAAATCAGTATTGAAGGGTTAACAGAGATGAGAAACAAAGATAAGTAGGGAAGAAAAGGTTTGCAAAATATATACAAACTTAGCTAGATACTATGTAAATGAAGCTCAGTGCCTAGTGGTATAGAATTACATTGCCAACCCAAAGGACATGATTCAAATCTACTAACTGCTCTACACAATGAAGATGGAAAATCACCTTCCATGTGATTTACAGCCTTTGAAAACCTGCTAGAGGTTCACTTATAAGTCCGTTCCAACTCAAGGAACATAACATCATACAAACACACAAGTATATTTTCCTACTTATTTTTTTCAAGTTGGATGTGTTTCATAGCTCACCCCGGTCAGTGGGTTTTCAGAAGCAGTAAATTACACATGAAGTGATTGCCCATCTTTCTCCTGCAGAGAGAATGGTGGATTTGAACCTTGTACCTTATGAATGTTGTTGTTGTTGTTGTTGTTATGTGCCGTCGAGTCGTTTGCGACTCATAGCGACCCTATGTACAACAGCCCTAAACCGTGCTCTATCCCGTGCCAATCTCATTGCCTCTGACACACCCATCCCGATTACCCCAGTCACTGAATCAATCCACCTCATAGAGGGTCTTCCCCTCCTGCACTGTCCCTCTACTCTACCCAGCATGATGTCCCTCTCCAAGGACCTGTCTCTCCTTACAACATGTCCAAAGTATGCCAAGTGAAGTCCCAGAATCCTTGCCTCCAAGGAGCAGCCTGGTTTAAACCCTCTCTAGGATGAATAGGCAGTGCATTTCCTTACCACCAATGCTTCCTATACTTCCCTGGTATTTTTTTTTATATATTTGCATCTTTTTTTTCCCTTTCTGAGTTGTTTTAACCCCCTACTAGTTTATTTACAAAATTCAAATATAAATTTGAACAAATTATTTCCATTTCCTCCACCCCTCCACCCATCAAATTATAAAACCGATGATTAATGTCCTTCCCCCTGCACATCCACATCCCTCTGCTTCCACCCTCTCCCACCCTTCTTGGATCCTTATACTCATCCTACAATAATGGTTTTATACAATATTTATCCTTGTGGGTATGAGTTAGTTCACTCAGCATAATGCTCTTCAGTCCTTCCCAAGTTAGGTAATAATTTACAAAATCATTCATTTCTCCTCTGTGCTGCATAGTATTCCACCGTGTGAATGTAAATCCATTCATTTGTGGTTGGACATTTGGGCTGTTTTCATATTGTTTGTCTATTAACTGAGGGAGTTGTGGGTGTCTACTGCCATTGGAAAGGCAGGATAGAAGGGGGAAAAGTCCCTTAACTCTCTGTCACTGAATCTTTGACATAATCTGTCTGCTCAGAGGTCAGAATCCACAGTAGTGTTGTTATTGTTACTGTTAGGTGCCATTGAGTAGAGGACTACTCACAGTGACACTATGAACAAAAGTTCTAAGCCTAGTCTTATCCCGAGCCAGCCTCAACTTCCTGACACACAAGAGCCCACTGCAGCAGTCAGTGTGTGAATCCACCTGGTTGAGGGTCTTTCTCTCTTCACCAACCTACCAGCCTTCCCAGCATAATATCCCTCTCCTAGGAATAGCACCTCCTAGCACTATGTCCAAAGTATGTGAGAATTCAGTCTTCATTGGTATTTCAGTTTCCTGTCCTATGACTTTCACTATTAATTCTAGGAAACTAAATGTAATGGTAAAAAAAGGATTGCAGTATATTACCTGTTGGCTGAAGTCCAGAGTGTCCTGGGAAAGAGAAAGGAAGATGGGTGTTTATAGGACACAGGAGCAGATCTGTCCCCACACACCATGCTCTCAGTTTAATCTCCCATCTGAGACTTCAGCTCTGACTTGTAAGCCACACACAGCACAGAGGAGACAGCAGGGTCTGAGGGCCAGCAGGCTGTGGAGACACTCAGAGACCATATGGGTCTAGCATAATGGTGTTAGCCTCAGGAGCTCCTTTTTAATTTGCCCCAAGGCCTTTACTTCAAATTTCAGGGCACAGTAGCATTTGGGGGGAGGTGGGTAGGGGAACCTCTGACACGTTATATTCACTGTGTTTTGACAGAAGAACCAGGACTCTTTTTTTTTTTTTATGTCGTGAAATTTGGGATTGACAAAAACACAAAAGCTCAATACAAGGTCATCACTATATAGAAAACTAGCTTAGAGAAGCCATGATTCTCCTCAGAGAAGTCCATGGGAATCTCAGCTACTAACCCTCTCCTTACCTTTCTGATTTCTGAAGTGGATGAACAGCCCCGCCCCGAGGAAGAGCACCCCCAGAACAAAGCCCCCAATGCCACTCAGCATCTTGCTCTGTGCAGATCCAGATTGTGCTCCTAGGAGAAGAAGCCACGTTCAGTGATTTGTTTCCAAATCCAACATTTCTAATTGAGAGCCTGAGAGTCAGCACTATGAGAATGGGAAAGATGTCTGCTGAGGGGGAAGAAAGGTTTAAAACTCACACTGAGTAGGTTGGAGGTGTGGTCACTGCACTCATCACAACTCAGATCAGGTTTGTCACAACAACAGGTGAGGAGTCTGAGACTCAGGGAGGTCAGAAGCTTGTGATAGAGCTAACGAAAAGCAGAGCTAAGATTGCATTCCTTCAGGTCAGGAAGGACCAATATTACAGTAGACGCTCCTCTCTTAGATCACAGTGAAAATCTCTAGAATGAAGAGCAAAGTACTGGAAGCAGAAATCCAGCTCAAGAGAGAGAAACTGCTCCCCAGAGTGAAGAACTTGACCATGTCCTGTGCTGTCATGAGAGGATTCCAAATAAAGACAAACCTTTCCTGACTCAGAGGGCATCATTGTCTCCACAAAGAATAGGTATGTGTGAATATTATCACAGAATTACTCTCTGTGACCTGAGCTGAAGGACAAGAGAAAATACAGCCAATGAAAACCTAGTGTGGGAAGAGGAGGACCTGGCCCTCAGGGATAAGCCGAGTCCCCCTGCTTGGTGACTGAGGAATTGATGAGATGAGATGACTGCTCACTCCATTCCACGGTGACAGGGCTCTCCAGGCTCGGGTGCTCCACTTGGCAGGAGTAAACCTCTCCACTCTGAGGAATGGTTTCAAGCATCACCAGCATCTGGAAGGTCCAGTCTCCATTGCGGACCAGGCCTGTGGACACAACCCCAGCCTCCTCTTCCTGGCCATTCCGGAACCATTTGACTTCAATGTGTCCTGGATAGAAACCACTCACAGAGCAAACCAGGAGGTTGTGGTGTTGCAGGGGCTCAGTCTTTGAAGGGTACACAGTCACCTTAGGCTCAGCTAGGAGAGAAAAGGAGAGACAATAAATGAGAAACACAGGGGAACTCTTGCTTGCCAAGGCATCTGTTTTTATACCCAGGAACCCCTAGAGGTGGACACATGGACCCTGAACATTATGTCGACATTAGATTTGAGACATAGAAGTGAATTGTAGGGTTTTCAGTCATTTGATCACTGTAGGAATGCTTAGAATTTTTGCAAAGTACGTCAGGTTTAACTAAAAGTGTTGGTTTTCATGCCCGGATTGCTGGGTTCAAGTCTAGAGTTATCTCTTACTAGGTGGCCCTAGGAGAGGATTTTGGCTTCTGGTTCTTTTTTATTTCCTCCGTGCATCAGCTTTCTGACTTATAAATTTCCTGCTATAGACTTGAAATGAGTCAGAACCAACCCCTAACTGATCCTCCATTGATTTCCAAATTGTGAATCATGAAGGAGGAGATGCCCGTCTTTCTTCTGAGCAGTCACAGGTGGATTTGAACCACTGGAGAGAGAAGTACAGCTTTTGGAGTAGCAGCTCAATTCCTACTGACTCTGCCACCTGATCTCCCTTCTCATCTCTAAAAGGATAAAAAGAACAGCTTATCTTTTAGGGCTGTGTGAGAATTGATGCAATTAATTATGAAACAGTGACTAAAACTCAGCCATTTTGTTAGATGGGAATTCTGGGGGATTGGTGGTAAGGAGTTACGCTGCCAACGCTAAGGCACTAGGTTCAACTCCACCATCTGCATTTTAGAAGAAATATGATCAGCCGGGTCCCATGAGATTTACTGTCTCTGAAAACCCAGGGGAGAGTCAGATATGCATCAGTTCCAACTTGTAGTACACATCAACATATATGTTAGGGACCTATACTGAGATGTAATCTGATTTAAAGTAGTATGGATGATGGGGAAACAATAGTGGGACAGGTGGGGAGAAAGGAGGCTGAAGTAATAGAATGTGATCTTCGTGTGAGCATATGTTTAAAGAAACTTATTTAGATGGGAAATTGCTCTGTGAATTGAATCCATGAGTTCTACAAGAGAGATTAACATAAAAATGCCATTTCTTTTCTTTTAAGGTGCTAATATTTGCTGTTTTGATAAGTTCTTTTCTCAAAACAAACATATGTAGTATTTTAAATTTGACTTCATTTATAATTATTTTAAGTGGCTTATCAGGTTTGGGTTTGAGGTCACTAAGTACGTGCTTCATGAGTTGCACAAACCCTGACACTAGCAGGCCTTTGGGGGTTTTGGGTGGTGCTTTGGGGTTTTTAAAGGAGAAGTTTGAGAAACATTCTTACAATACAAGAAATAGTAGATTTAATATTGATGAAAGGCGCTCTGGTGGCCAAGTGACAATAATCTGTGCAGAAATCCCTCAGTTGGAGGCCACCAGCTGGGAGTAGGATGGGCAATCTCCTCCCCTGCGACTAACTGCTTCTGAAAATTTGCTGGGGGTCCATCTACCATACTCAACAGCAACATTATAGATGATGAATATTTTTATAAATTTTTCAATACATCTCATTTAATAGATTGATTGAAAGTTCACTACTGAGAAGAACTGAGCCAAATCATAAACCACAATGTCAGATCTCAGTAATGTCCTCATAATCTTACTTTGTGGAGAACTTTCTTATCAGAAAAACCCTAGAACCTTAGCAACAGTGATCAAGAGGTGGTAATCTATAGAGTATTAATTACAGGTGGCAGATAAACTTTAAAATATTTAAGAGCCACAGAGTAAATTGAAAACAAAAATAAACTTTACACTTAGTACCTCACACTAATTTTTAAAATTATTTTAAAAAAATAAAAATAAAAAAACTGCTGCTTAACAATGGAGCCATCGAGACAAATTTTGTTACATAGTTACGGAGCAGATTATGACTTAATTATTGTTTGTATGTAAAAATAACACTGCAAGTATTTTAAGAAACAAAGTATAATTAAAAAACCTACTTCCATTGTTGTTCTAATTGTTATTGTTGTTGTTGTTATGTGTCGTCGAGTCGCTTGCGACTCATAGCGACCCTATGTACAAAAGCCCTACACTCTGCTCTGTCCTGTTCCAATCGCATTGTCTCCGACATACCCATCCCGATTATCCCAGTCACTGAATCAATCCACCTCATAGAGGGCCTTCCCCTCCTGCGCTGTTGCTCTAATTACGTAAGTATATATACTATAAAAAAAAAAAAATTAAGGAAATGTAGACTGAAAAGGAGCTCTGGAAAGGCCTCAGATGCGTCAGGATTGCTGTCACGTCCTGGATGACACAGGGCAGCACCCGCCACACTCGGCAGATACAGAAACTGACGCCTGTGACGGTTCACCCTAAACGTAATGTGTGCGCAGAAAACACGTAACAACTGCTTTGACTGGAGGATTTCAGGACGAGGGAAGGTCTCCCCTGACTAACCTCTCACTGTCCTGTACGTTTATTTTTTTTTCTCCCCTAAAAAGTCGCCCAGCCCCCCACACCTTCACTTTCCTTCCCCGAATCTCTCACCAACCCCGGTCCGTGTCCCCATCTCAGCCCCGTCACTGCAGCCCCGTGTCCCCCCCCGTACTCCCCCCCACAGTGACCCCGGGACAGCTGGGGGTCCCCTCCTCCCGCACCCACAGCGGCGCTCACCTCGCCGCCGCACCAGGAAGTTCTCAGAGACTTCATAGTTGTGTTTGCAGTAAGTCTCCACCTCGGCCCGC